GCTTGCAAAGGATGTACTAGAACAACTGAAGAAAATTTGGTTGTGGTAGAAAGGCGAGGCTGGGCTGTGGCTGCAAGTACCGTTTTGGATAAGGTGTAGCTCTTCCAAATGAAACCCCGGGGTATATAGATGAAATCTTTTGTTGTTTTTGGGTTTTGGGACACTTGCGCCAAACGAGCGCCGTAGGTGGGGCTACCTTACAGCGTTAGTTGGCGAACCCGATGCGCTGGGAGGCCAATTGCCTCAGGCGGTTCAGCTCCGCTTCCATGTGGGCGTTGAGCAATGACCATCATCCCGTTCTTGGCATCGGACACAGCCCGGGGAGCGTGGGTCGCCCATCCTTCGAAACTTGATTACATAGCGGTAACTACTCCGTATTTTCAGCCAAGGTAGTCCACCGAGCTCACTCTCGGAATCTCCAGTGGCGGGGAATGAGGAGGTGGGCAGAACTTCCAAACCCGCATTTCGCGGGTTTCGACAGGACAAAGCGCCGCGTTCTCGTGATTGTGGCGTATTGGGCTGGGCATCTCTGCGTCTGTCTCGTCAACTGACCGTCACGACTGGCTCTCCCGTCGGTAGCCATGCAAGTGTCACAATTGTGCACTTGGCACGCGACATTCAAACGCTACCGGTAAGGTGACAGGACGGGCACTGGGCTCGGCTTGAAGCTTGCCAATCATCAGTGGTTCAATGCCCAACTTCGCTCAGGAGCCAGCTATAGATGAATATACACCGTCTATTCCCTCAACCCTCCTTGCTTTTGGCCAATGACTCCAGCGACGTTCTAGCAATGCACTACACCCCATCTTTCGAGCAAGCATGGATACCTGAAGAGGAACCCAATGAATACAGCCCCATTCAAAATGCTTCACGAACCTCGTCGATGAGTTGTTGACCCATCGTCCTCCGTCTATTGCTGCCGTCGCCTCCGGCGGGCTGCTGGGCCCCCAACGCAGCGCCGGTCGTTGCGCCCTCACTTTCGAGCCTTCTCCGCATGCCCTCGAACCTGTCGTTGCTTTTCTGACCCCTGAGCCCAAAAACCCATCCGGGGAGACGCCAGCGCGTCACCGCTCCCGGCAAAAGCTCGCTGCGCCAGGCTTGCCCCACCATCCATCCAACCACTGCGCCGAGAAGCGAGCCGGGCCATTGGAAGAGCGCCAGTTGGAGGGCCATGAGGTACTTGGTGGACTTGTCCGAGAATGTCAGGCCCGGGCTGTCGTCGTTCACTGGTGGCCCCGTAGAGAGCGCGACCTTGTACTTGTAAATGTGCGGCACCATGGCATGGTACTGCGCTAGGATGGCAAAGATAATGGGCGTTGGCCCAGCAGGCAGAAAGTCAAACACCCCGAGGCTCAGCGGTCGAAGGACGACGGTCAGAAGAACCGGCGGGATGATGGCTGTGAGAAGGCCAGAGACGACGATGAATGACTGTATTTGTGTGAGCAGACAAATTCTTTAGGATGTGTAGTTGCCGACTCACAGCATATTTCCTCGAGCCCCACTGCTGCTCGACAACCCTCATGTTATACAGCGCCATGGCGGCGAAGAGCACCTCTGCCGAGTTGGTATAACATAGCTGATATATCAAAGCACGCCAGGTTTGACGGTATTGGAGGATGTGTGTGCCGACTGAGATGTAGAAGTAATGCTTCACGTCAAACAGACTGGCCGCGATGGACGATCCGACAAGTCCGAGAACCAGGGTGCGTGTCACAGGAGTGCTGGTAAACGACATGTTGATGTATCTGCCCGCTGCTGATTGCTCCCTAGCATGGTCTGGGCATTTTCCGTAGAAGCCAGCAGATCGGAACTTTGGGAAGATCACCACTTCCGCCGTCTGCCTAGTGGGCCAGGGTTATGCTGCCTTCTAAGAAACCAGGTGGCTAAGAGACAAAGGAATGGGAAAGAAACGTCAAAAAGAATGGAGATTGTCTTTCCCCTCAACGATATAAAACGGAAGGAAGGACCCCTAAATTCCTCATGTCCGTTGAAGTCGTGGATCTTGGGAGAACAGTGGTAACGTAGCCCACATGCCACATGCACTGTTTCTCGGTGTGCCAAGACCCTGCCGGTGTCATCAATCCCTCCCGAACAGGGGACAGTAATGATGGACCCACTTTTGCTCAGCTTCCACGTCCGCATCATCGCATTGGAAAGACACGGACTGCAACCCAAAAGGATGCAGAACTTACGACGCTGGCAAAAATCAACACGCATCATCTTTCAACTGCCAACCTTTCCCGTAGTGTCGGGTCCATTCGTTTGGCTATCCACAATAGCACCAGATAATGGCTACAGCTCATTAACGAGCAATGAATAGCTTCTGTGCACGTTTTGCTTGCTTCTCTCGAATTCTTGATATAATTATCTTAACAGCGCCATTGTTCACCCACGCGGCGCCAGAGTGCGACCTCACCACCGTCAGCCAACATTATGTCGGATCTATATCTGAGTAGGATACGCAGCTGGCTCCGCAGCTCGCCGCCTGTGGAATGGGCCGCCAATTGCTTGCGTGAGGCGTTGATCGGGGCGCTCAGTCAGGGGCCCATTCCGCGTCACGTAGCATTCGAGATGGACGGCAACCGGCGGTATGCGCGAAGCCACAAAATCGAGACGGTCGAAGGTCATCATCACGGCTTCGAAGCCCTAGCTAGAGTGCGAATCCCACAGCCTGGACTGTTCCCAGCTATCCTGCGCTTTGCAAGCTGACCTTATGGTGCAGATTCTGGAAGTATGCTATAAATGCGGCGTTGAGGTGGTGACCGTCTATGCTTTCAGTCTCGAGAACTTCCACCGGCCCAAGTACGAGGTTGACGGGCTTATGCAGCTCGCCAAACTCAAGCTAGAGCAGCTTATCCAGCATGGGGATATCTTGGATCGCTACGGTGCGAGCGTCCGGGTATTGGGACAGCTAGATAGGATCCCGCCGGACGTTTTCGAGGTCGTTCAAAGAGCAGTTTCTGCCACCAGGCACAATACCGAGTACGCCGGCTCTTTACGTCGACGCACGCATCCCGTATGCTGACCAGATCTGTCTAGTTGCGTCCTCAACATCTGCTTTCCGTACACCTCGAGAGAAGAAATCACCACAGCTATTCGAACAACGGTGGAGGAGTACTCGACGACGCCTCGGCCTCACAGCACCGCCTTCTCTCAGAGCCGCATTTACCAGAAGATCATGTCGTCGCAGGGTAGGGAAAATGATATCCTTCCATCGATCACCGAAACGCCCGTGACACCCCCGGATCAACCAGACGATCAAGATGAGGCCATTTCGACATCTAGCACGCTCCATTCCGGCTCGGCAGGCCAAAAACTGGGGGAGGGAGAGACAGTGGCCATATACCCAAACGCAGAAAGCATCACGCCGGAGACGATCGAGAGACACATGTACACGGCTGGCTGCCCTCCGCTTGACATATTTGTCAGGACTAGTGGTGTAGAGCGGCTGAGCGACTTCATGCTCTGGCAGTGCCACCAGGATACGCGAATCTTCTTTCTCAAGTGTCTCTGGCCCGAGTTCGACCTGTGGCATTTCATCCCTGTGCTAGTCGAGTGGCAGAGGAAGGAGAAGCTGAAAGAGAGAGACGAAGGGCCCCGCCGGCGGGCGAAGCAGGAATGATGGCCCTGATTTCAATACTTCAGCTGAGGCGAGCTTGATATGCGATGCAGCATGGCGTTTGGGAACCCAGGTGTTTCTTTGAGTGACAATGGTTTGGTCTCACCGGCTCACCGGCCGTCTCCATTTTCTGCGCCATTCTCAGACGCATTATTTTCATACCATGAGCGAATAGCCTAGAGAGGTATCTAGACGTGGGCGATTTTATGATTTTACTGGCTATCCTGGTTGGAGCGTTGGGAAGAAGGGTTCATTCACATTGTGTGATGTACTTGCTGCATGGACATTGAAGGGTTTCGCACTCTTATCTTATCGGCCCCACATACTTAGCCCTTGTGACGTATCGGAGAGCTCAGATTCTGGGCCGGCAGCCAACAAACCCCCCCAAGTACCAACCGGCAGAAGCCCGCCGCTAGCCTTGGCGGTGCGCCGGGTCATCTGTGGGCTTTGGGAAGATCCCCCAATTTTCTCTCTGCCCGAGCAAAACCGCCCAGGATAATTTCCTCGGCGCATTGTCGACTTGAGGTCTACAGTCGTTCCAGTCTCAGCAATTCTGCGAGTCGGATTGGTATTTGCCAGGCCTCGTGGGCATCCCCAGGCCCTTCAGCGACACCCTGGACTGCCCCGGAGCAGTTCTCTTCCCCCTCTCTGCTCACGCAGATTTCCTCTTCTGCGACCTCACGGTCCTCTCGCTCTTGATCCTCTCTCCTCCCCGCTGACACCGCTATTATTCCGACCATCATGTCGACCGTGAGGACGGCCAAACCCGCCGTGGCCGACGGGGCAGGCAGCGCAAGCCGTAGAGCACAGCCTGTGCGCCAGACACGAATCAACCCGCAGCGCACCTCGTCGCTCAATCGCGCCAACGCGTTCGCAAGCGCCCCAGCTCGAGATCAGCCCATCGACATTTTTCCTGGAGTGACACACTTTGCCGACGCCATCACCGCTCTTCCCAAAGAACTAGTCCGACATTTTACACTGCTAAAGGAGGTCGACGCTAAGATTTTCACTCCTGAAGCCGCCCTCTTCCAGCTCCTCCACGAAGCCCTCAACGCGCCCGCTCCCGAACCGGCCCGACTGCTCAATGATGCATCGAGCAGCGCCGCGTCCGTGTCAGCGCCCATACCGGCGCCGGGCAGCAACGCCGGAACTTCGGCCCCTTCCAACGACGGCTCCGCCGTTTTCGACCCGGCCAACATCCCTCGTCGCACGCTCTTCCGAGATACCGCTCTCAAGATACAAGAAATGCTGGTGTCCCTAGAGGAGAAGAATCATGTCCTAGCGACTGCGAACGATGCTCTCCAAAAACAACTGGGGCGCATCGAGGAGATTTGGCCGCACCTCGAGAACGAGTTCAGCGATGAAGCCAAATGGGGAAGCACAACACACTGGGCCTATGTGGAAAATAGGCAGGCCAAGGCCAATGACAAACAAGCGGAGCGCTCACGGCGCGAGGGTGCAGCTACCCTCTCTGCGGCCGCCCAGCAGCTGGCCGAGGAAGCCGCCGCTCGCAGCAGTGATAGAAAACAGGCCCTGGCGGTCAAGAAAACCCCGAGGACTCAAGTTGCTGAGGCCGATGGGGACAAGGCGCAAGATACCGGGCGAAAACCGCAAGGGGGTGGCAAACGAAAACCTCTTCCCGATGGCACGCCGGTGGGCCTCGGTATTACCACCGGCCCTCCAGGCAACGGGAGCGCCCCCTCCAAGCGACGCAAGGTTGAGGCGGTGAAGCCTAACGGAGGCACTCCGGCGGAGCGTGCAATGAGCTCTGTCTTTGGAAACAGCTCCTCCAAACAAAAGACAACGAGCCCGAGATCGACACCCGCTCCCGAAGGCGGGGCCAAGAAGCGCAAGGCCCTTCCGACGTCAAGCAACCAGGCAAAGAAGAGGTAGGTTTGGCCTTAGTTCTCTGGCTCGTGAATCTGCTGACCAACACACAGCAGGACTAACGCGGCTACATCTTTATCCGTCACATCATCCCCCGTCATCGGGACATTTCCGGATCCTGTTAGAGGTGGGCAAGGCTCACCCGTTCCGCCGGCTCCTCCTCTGCGGCCCGCCTCGTCTCGGGCACGCCAGAATTCTACTCAGTCGAACATTGAAAACGCACGACAGAGGCCCCCATCAGCAGCATCGAGCAAGGTGAATGGGAACCAGCCAGGGACACCTGATCCAAGCCAGCAGAGCAATGGGGCAAAGCAAACCGCAGACCCTAAAGCCCAGAAGGAGACGACCGTCCCGGTCTCAAGCAAGCCTCAGCCGGTCAAGTCGGAAATCGAAGATCCCCCTGTTCCAACACTCGAGCTACAACAAAATGGTGGGAGCAACAAGAAGGAGAACGCCGCCGCAAAGACAACCGAGGAGCGCGAGGCGCCGAAGAAGGAGCCAGCAGCCCTCACCATCCAATCCACCCCGGCAAGCGCTGTCAAAACTACCAAGAGCGGCCGCGCGAGCAAGCCATCGACTCCTGCATCAGCAACCTTTGCCGAGGCCGCTTCGTCATTGCCCGCAACCACGACTACCACGACGACGTCATCCCGATCTAGACCGTCGCGCAGCAATGCCGACACGGCTAGCACCAGCAGTATCAGCACCGCCGCTGCTAGCACGGCTACTACAACTGTTAATACCGTGGCAGCGGCGGCGAAGAGGAGCCACAAAAAGGGCGCATCTATATCCTCCGCCGCCGCCGCAGCAGCAGCAGCCGGAACTCACGCAAACGCGCACCAGTCTGTCACAACCGTTGGCAGCATGAACAGTCCTACCACCACCACCAGCAACAGTCACAACAGCATATCTTCCACAGTAGACAAAGACAGGGACAGGGACAAGGAAAAGGAAAAGGAAAGAGAAAAGCCCCCTGTGCTTGGCGCTGCTCCATCCAACACCAGTGCCATCGCCTCCACCATCACCTCAGGACACAGTAACGGTGGCAGCAGCAGCATCAACAGCAGTAGTGGCCACAATAGCAACAACAACATCAATACCAACAATACAAACCACGGCAACAAGAAGCAGCGCAAGGATGCATGGCGTGTCAAAGGAGGAGAAGACCGCGACGACAAGGATGTTGACGACGACGACGAGGAAGATGACGAGCAGGAGCCCGACCCCAACGAGCCCGTCTACTGCTACTGCAACCAGGTCAGCTACGGCGAGATGGTGGCGTGCGACGGCGAAGGGTGTCCGCGCGAGTGGTTCCACTTGGAATGTGTCGGGTTGAAGGTTGCGCCTAAGTTGAATGGTGAGTTCTCCCCCCGTCTTGTATTTGGATGGGAGTATTTGCTGATGATTCCAACAGCAAAATGGTACTGCGAGGATTGCAAGAAGCGGTTGAAGGGCGCCGACCGGGAGAGGGACCGTGACCGGGAGTCCTCTAGGAGGTGATCTATCGGTTTCTACTGGACACCCCAAGGGCCCTGGTGTCTCTATTCCTACACTTTATGCCCTAGCCACCTTGCGGAAATGTTCATTGCTATATAGCGGATGCAAGCGAGCAGGTGGTTGCATTGCTTTGCGTTTGCTTTTCCGTCGTTGCTCACGCCGTCTCGGCGATAACGCTGCCCGTTTATAATGCTAGCCTGAACCACTCTGCAAGAGGCACAGAGACAGACAGACAGGAAAGTTATGGAAGGGGGGATGGAGCGTCGGCGGGAGATCTGGTCATCTGGATGTTTGTATTTCACTGGAGTTCCGGCTTGAAGAGCTATCTATCCTTAGCCGGGTTGTTGGGATGGCAGCAGAGAGAAGCTGGGGCAGCGGCGTGGGGGGAACGAAATTGTTTTCTCATGTTTGTAGTAGTACCCTATGAGTAGTGTACATCCTTATCAATGTATGGGTCTATGTTGAAGCTGCCACATGCTACTAAGCCGTCTTGGAGAATGTGCCCGTAATCCTGTTGGACTTGAGGAAACCCGTGCCCAGACGAGACCCGTGCCAGGCAACACCTAAGTAGACGTTACGGTCCTAATAGCGAAAATCATCTGGACTCGTTTGCCTCCTCAGCCGCCATCCTCGCTACGGACTGTCTGTACAGCCGGCCTCGTGCGCGGCTAGCCGCAGCGCGCATATCCTCAAAGTTTGCCCAATCTTCATGGCATTTGACGTCCCTCAAGCGATAGTCACCCGGGGTAGCGGGCTTCTCCTTGCGCTCCCATATATCGCGATAGATGCCCGTCTCAGCAATCGGCTCCTCAGGATCCACCCGGTCCGCATTGTCGAGGGTGGGCAAGATAGGGAGCGGGCAATGGGCTGGCGCCGTTGGCCCATTGTGGAGGAGAAACCCTAAAAGCTGCTGCTTCTGTTCATCGAGTAGCCGGCAGATTCGGTATGATGCCTCGGCACGGTTAGGGTGAATGTACACTTCATGCGACTGCGCCCACAAGGTACCAATCAGAGTTGTTAGGGAGACAACATCAAGTCTTGCAACGACGCTTTAGCGGTGATTCTGGAGATGCTAACCTCGAGCGAGTGGCGGTCGAACAAGATCACGCCGCCAAGGATGCGCGCTTCTACCCAGTATCCAACACAACCTGCGATGCCGTCGGGATACTGGTCATAGTCACGATACCACTCGTGCAAGAAGTATGTTGGTGGAGGCCGGTGCCCAGTGGGTGGCTCGCCTTTGTGCAGGGAGGTATTCTGTTTATAGACCCAAACTGCAATCTGGTGGAGAGCCACTGCGACCAATTCGATCAGCCGCGTCTTGAATGCTCTAGAACCCGGTGACGCCGTTTGGTATGCATGAACGGCCTGCAAGACTTGATGAGTTCAAGTTCAGGATGTTGCTGTCCTTCGGGAATGACCGCGGCGTCTAACCCACTTTCGAGTCGAGTTTGATAATCTTGAGGTCAAACTCAGCATACAGCTGCCGAGAGCGCTCAAGGACACCGTAGCAAAGCCTATCGTGCCGGATAGGCATCGGGTCATAGACATGGACCATGACATGCGTGTTATACCTGTCGTAAAGGACGTCATGTATTGGAAGGCCATCTACAATCTGGGCAAGAGTAAACTCGGCAATTTCAGTAGACAGGACGTTCGAGAGCGCTCGTTTGAGGATGTCACGATGCTGACCCTCCAGGCTTTCGATGGTAAGCCTTTGAAATCTGGCCTCTAGATCATGGTCTGTAGATGAAACGCCCGCCATCGTTGATGCCCAAGGAGTTATCGAAGGGTTGTGGCAAGAAGGAGCGACCTGGTACCTTGAGACTTATGCGTACATGTAGTGAGTTGTCACGGCGTTGGTTGAATGAGTCTCGATGCATGCAAGTAACGGGGCTAGCTCTGCCATGCCTACAGGACCGTAAGGGCTCAGAGATTGGATTGCGCCGAGCGATTCGCAGAAGGAAGGATGATTGAATTTCATTCTCATAGATATTTTCTTCTCAAATGTGTTGCGGCTTCAATAGTTGTATCAATCTTGCTTTCTTACTCAGATTCAAGTTGTGATTTGACCCCTTGATGATTCGATCCAAGGTTAAGGGGCTTGTAGTACTAGGTAACTCAAGCTAGAGTACCCATTCCGAGTTGATATTCCGACCCAAATCGGATTCAAGAGATGAATCAAGCTAGTAAGCTTAGTGTTCCAGTGGCCTTTCTAATGTGGTGTGCTATTACCTGTCGTCATCAGGAAGCTGTCTCTCGTACTTTATGCAATGATAGCTATCCCGAGTTGAGAGTCCATAGTACCATGAACATGAGAGTTGCACAGTACCTAGGTACCTGATCATTGATATAATCCCCAGCACTAGACAAAGCTCAAACCAAACATTATCGATGAATATCCATTACTTTGATAACTCGTACCCAGGTAAGAGTTAAAGCGTCACGGTCCGAGTCTTGTCTCAGCAGTGGTCACCTTGAGACGAAGCAATCTCTTTTTCCTGCTCCAATAGGGTCCAGACAGTGAAGCTATCAACATATCTGGCCAGTCTACAACTGTCCAAGATATATATGATGTATGTAAAAGAACATACCGGCCGAGTTGATTCTGGACCCTGCATGAAAAGCTGAAGCCCGTAAGCACAAGGTGTCTTGGTCTGCATCGTGCCTAGGTAAAGTACTTGTACTTGTACCTATTTGATGCAAGACTAAACTGCTTGCCGCTCTGTGACCGCAATACTCGTCAGGAGCTTCATAGACGCAATCCTGACCCACTACTTCGTTATGTACGGAGTACTGGCTTCAGAGATTGTGAGCTTGTGACGTAATGACATTGCATATAACGCAAGGTAGTAGGAAACAAAGGCGTCGGTAGATCTATGTTTTCGCAAACTGTTCAACAAGCAAAGAAACAGCTGGAGAGAATAATTGGATCACCATAGCATTGATGAAGTCCAAGATCGAAGATGAGAGACAGTCAAGCTCCAGATCCCCCGACCAGGTGGGAAGCCGCTACATAGCCGGGTATTAGTGGAGCACGGCTGTAAGCGGCTTCCCGACAGCCTTCTCCCCGAGTCCCCGGTGCGCGACGCGCTAGCTCTGCGGGGCGGCTTGTTGGTGTGGCGCTGCCGCTATGTACGATGGCTCACTGACAAAAAAGCGAGTCCAGGTGATCGGCTACCACGTGAACAGACTGCCCCTAGGGGCTGGACAGATGGGTGTCTTGGCACTGCAAAACTAGTGCACTCCGAAAGATCAAACCCAGGGGTCGGGTATCATGACCGAGAGCCAGAGAACTGGAATTGACTGCCCTCATCAGCTGGGCATGCTCTCACAGGTTCGCGCTTCAAGTTTGCTGAAAGGATTTGTTGGCTATTGATAATTGGATAATTTCGATCATGGATACCTGTGATTCCGAACTTTGGACCTCGTACTTCATAGAAGTCTGGCAAGTCAGGTGATGCTCTCTTCCCAAGCTTTTAAAAAGAGCGAAGCCAACACAGGGTGAAGTTCCTTGGCTTCTCACTTCATTCGTCCATTGATTAGGTAACATAAATATCTGTAAGCCTATAGCGGGTGAGCCTTGCCTCTGGACCACGGATATTGCACTACTGCCACTTTTTTTATTTACGTAGACCTTTTTTGGTATTTACGTAGACCTATACGTACCTCAGTGTCAGCAACCAATGGGCGTGCTCCCCTCCCCACCCATTTTTGCAGGCGAAAAGAGCAAGCCATAGAACGGGCGCATAGGATGTAAAGTACTCACCTAAGGTAGAGATGCCTATACCCTCTTTAAATCTCTAACTCTCTGACTCCCTGGCTCCCTGGCTCTCTGGCTCTCTAGCCCTTTGGCCTTCTAGAGCTCTAAAACGCTCAAATCTGCGGTCGGGATCGGGCGCGTGAGGTTTTAGCAAAGCTGACATAAGCACCCCGGGCCCTTTTCCGCCCGGCCCCCGCAGGTGCCGGACCGCCCGCCCTCTCTTACCTTTGCTAGCTGTATCTATACAGCTAATTGACTGCAGATGCCGCGGCCATGGAGCTGGCGCGTTACAGCTGATTGCCAACGCTGGGCTGCATCTGTAAGTGTATCCTGTCCCCTGGAAAAAGTTAGGGCAGAGAGACTCCTATACGCCCGGCCTGTAGCTTGCTCTTCTGCCCTTTAAAAGTGGGTTGGGAGGGGAGCGCGCCCATTAGTTGCAGACACTCAAGCAGGAAAGGTCTACGCAAATACGAAAAAAGGTCTACGTAAATAAAAAAAGTGACTACTGCGGCGAAATAACATCACGTCAGACGACGACGGCATCCTCTCTGCGGATGATGGAAGTTTACAGCAATTTCGAAGCAACTGCGCCGATGGACCAGCGCAGTGTTGTATCCATTGAAGACGGCTGTAACAGCACTTGTACGACGTGCTCACTCCCCAGCCAAGGTAGAGCGCTCCCGGTGTTCCACAAGCGAGCACGAATTTTGCCAGCGAACAGCTTCTGCCGGTGGAGATGTTCAAACCATTACGTACCTGTAAGGTATGGCCGACCCTGGCTGCGGCACGCTGGCCACCTGCCGCGATGCGCCGATGATGTTACGGTATGTCATGGAAACTGGAAGATTCATCAGGTGTTGGTGGTGCAGACCGTATTTTTGAACAGCCTTCGATGGCTGGGCAGAGTTTGACTCTTTTGCTTGGCATTGAAGTCGTCAAATTTCGCCGCCCTCGCGTCTTTGTTGGATGCGCCTTCACGATGCCCCGAGAACCTCGCTGGTTGGTTGGGCAAGTCGAGTTTTGATGTCTAAGCGCTCTGCGTCCGTCGTCCCAATCAAGCCTCCGGTGCACAGCCGATGACAGCATGGCAGAGTTGTTCGAGGCAATACTCTTTGCTTTCAGGTTTGCCATCGCGGGATCGGCTCTGATGAATCTACGTCCTGTGTAGTACAATCCAGGTAACGTTTCTGTTGAAGCTGCGAGCTTCGAGGCTTTGAGCTGGAGGGATAAGGCGGGTGGATCCGCAGCGATGAACGAACAACCTAACACCCGCCCAGCTGGAGCTCTGATGTCCAGGTGACAGAAAGTCGCCCCATCATGGCTAGCGAGCCGCGTGTAGTTGAGACTTTTCCGTGTCTTGGGCCAGCCTCTGATGACTTTTCTCGGCCTGCACCGGGTCTGGTCCCGCCTGACGTATTTATTTCCGAACGCCATTTGAGCCACACATCCTCGCACAACGCTCTCACCTAAAGAACATCGTCGGTTCAAACGGCGAAAACTAGGGCGTACTCATACCCTGAGAACATCGTCGTCCAGTACAGGACACCATTTGAACAGCGCGCTGTCTTTGTTTTTTAGTGATCTGTACAGGAAGATCTAGCTCTGGCCGGCTTGCAGAGTCCACCAGTACCTTGGCAGCAAACCGCATCGTCGGAAATCCGACAGCTTCAACGCAGCGGGAGCACGGGCAGGCATTCTGCAAACCCCTGCACTGCAGAGTGCTCAACGTCTGCTGCAAGCACTTCGCTCCGTCCTAGCTGCCATCAAGAGAAACAGCGGGTTTGGGCTTCCGAAACCACCTCACAGACCACGGTTGCGGATCCATATCAGACCAAACTTCGCACCTTCCCCGCACTGCAGTGTTGCCCTCCTCCCATTACCTAAAAGGCCGGTTCCTTGACTAATAGAAAGGGCCCGGCCGCCATCCATTATCCTTCCCGTCTATTTGTGCGAGACCACAGCGCGTGGCCCTTTCCCCCTAGATTTGTTGGGTCTCCGCTGCAGTCGTGTTCTCTCTCCCTCCACGGATCAACAAAGGGTCCCTGTCGCTTATTGCACAGCTGCACTGCGCACCTGACCTCTCTGCAATTTTCCCCGGACCTTGCCAAGCCGCGTCGACTCGCCTCGCTCTTTCCCCGATGGCAGTCTCGAAGCCAAGCGCCGGAGCAGGCCGTATGCAGCCCCTTGCACCGCCGTCCAAGGACTGCAAGCCCGACTACAAGACCATGGCCGACGAGCAGCACCGTCCATCGTCTCCGGACCGGCTTTCTCGCTCTTCCTTTTCCTCCATCCGTGAGAACGAGAGCATACTTCCCCAGACATTCTCCCGAACCAAGATCTCCTCGTACCTTGATACCGACGAGGCCGTTGACGACTCGTCACCAAGCCCGACCACGCCATCGACTCCCTCAGGCCGGACCATCGACATGATCCAAACCCAATTCCAGCCGCCGGTCACTCATCCCCATAGCCGACTCCTTGGCTACTGGACACCCGCCGACAGCTTCAAGGGCTGGAAGGGCATCCAGGTCAAGGGAAAACTCGCCAGCAAGAGCTTCGGAGATCTCCAAATCTTGCACCAGGTGTTCAGCCAGCCGGCCAAACCCGTTAAGCGTGGCGGTAACCGACCTGGCGAGTCACCGATCGAGCGTTTGCCTGTCGAGATCCTCAGTAAGTTGGCCCCATTTCATGATGGCATGTGCGTGTCGGGCCGCTAACGCAGGAATCAGGCGCCATCATCAACCTCCTCGCCCTTGACGTGCCTCCTAATGGCATCACCAGGCGCAATGTCGATCTCATGTCGTTGCTGCTGACCTCCAGGACACTGCACTATGCGACCCTCAGCACGCTGTACAACAAGATCACCATCCCCCACTCTCGCATCTTCCACAAATTCCTTAGGCACATCTCGGCGCATCCGACCCTGGGGACCATCGTGCGACGGCTCGACTTTTGCCACTTCAATCCCGCTCAGCTGTTCTCGACGGCCGCCGAGCGCTCTAAGGCACGCAATCTGACATCAGAGACGCTCCTTCAGTGCTTGGAGCTCACTCCAAACCTGCAGGAGTTCCTTGCCCAGGAGTACATCGACGAGGATCTGGATGCCGGCGTGTTGCAGAAGCTATTTCTTGGGCTGCCCCAGCTGAAGGCGGTCGATTTTTGTGGGTGCACCTCGGGCTCCTTCAAGGAGGCATTCTCCGCGATAATTTCGCCGGACTGGCCTAAGGAGCTGTCGATTTGCCGCCTCTCGCTGCACAAGTGCTTGACGCTGCCGTCAGCCATCTTCGAAACAATCCTCCCACGCCTGCCAAGGCTCACACACCTTGATGTTGCCGGTACGCGCATAACGGATGCTGCATTGAACTCGATCCCGCCGACTGCAAGGATCACGCACTTGAATCTCGCCAAGTGTACCCTCCTGTCGGCAAGGGGTGTCATTGACTTTCTCACGAACCATCCCGCCGTCAGGGAACTGCAGTTCTTGAGCCTGGCAACCGACGCAAGAAGCCACCAGCTTTTCAATGCCGATCACATCACCGAACTCATACCGCTCCTCCCCAAAACGCTGAAGTCGCTGAGCCTGAAGGGCAGCAAGATGGAAGCCGCTCACGTTGACGCCCTACGACCTCTCAGCAAGCACCTGGAAGAGCTGGCGATAGGACGGTCTCTAAAGCTATCGGACGTTAACAGGCTCTTTGTGCCCGACGAGGATAGCGACGTGGCGATGCAGATCGACTGGGTGCCGCACACTCTCCGGTACATAGACCTCTCGGATAACTGGGGTAGCGACATCGACCTGGGCTATCTTTTCAGCAGCAGTTGTGCGATTCTCAAGCCCTTCTCGGAGCCTTTGGAGGTCGTCGAGCTTGCCGAGGACGTTCTCCGCCGGGTAGGCAAGTCTGCTGCTGCTCTCAGCAAGGCCGGCTGGCAACTTAATGAGTGCGGCAGCCGGGGCTGGCTGGTGAGGAAGCCCGACCCCAATGCCAAGGGCCCGCGGGACGACGGGCGGCGGGGCTGGAAGATGGGAGCCGAGTCCTGGGGCATGAGGAAGATCCCCGTCGCGAGGGCCGAGGTTGGAGGCATGTACGGGTCTTTCATGTTTGGTCGAAAGCTTTGAGTCTTAGTCTTTCCTTTCTTGTTCGTCATGGTTATGGTTGCGATACCACCGCAAGCGGAGCGGGCGGCGTCTGATTCTTTCGGTGGGCTGGGCCATATCGGAAAAGAGGGAGTCTGGAGGGTTGAGCATTTCTCCTGATCCCTTCGCCTCTGACGCCTGTTGCATTTGCATGGAGTTACGGCGGTGAGCTAAAAGTTGGTATTGTTGTGCGGTTAACGGAAAAGGGGACACGGGGTAAGGCAAGGACAAATGCATTTCAGGTGCGAAAGGTGCGGGTAGGAAGTTCCCAAAGGCCAAGCAAATGATAATATATTACTACCGTGCTCAGAGAAGCCAGAGCGGGACAGGAATGGCTTTGGTGTGTATATAGCAATGCGCAAAATTCTCTCCTCATCGTGTCACTGCGGAGTCGTGGTTCGGCTGGAAGGGCTGAGTTGCCTGAACACGGGACGTTTCAGGAGGGATGGGCAGCACTTATCTTATGAACTGATGTGTATTCACAGTCTGCGGTGCCTGCAGTGTCCTGCAGCCCTGAGAGATAAGAGAGAGAGCATATCTCGCAGCTTTTGACGGATTACGGAAGCAAATTATGTTTGACTGGATGCATGATCTGGGGGAACCCCCACAGCCGAGGTGGGATGCCACCCCAGGCTCCGGACGCCCGGATCGTCGCCCTCCCGTATTCGTCATGGGGACAAGCGCGGGATGAACCTTATTTGTAGGTATGTACCTACAGTACATTATCCTCCAGGCTACCTTACGTATGCAGTGCAAGTACGAAGTGCTCCAAGTGTACAATACCTGCACTACTCATGTATTGTATTGGTATGTATGTACGTCCCAATGGAAGTTTAGAACGACGTTGCTCAAAATTCCTACTGTAAGTGAAAGGAGCGTCTAAGGTACCTTACCTGGTCTACCACTCATAACAGTGTCCAAGGTACAGTACTTAAGTTAGTGTCATAGGCTACCTACCTACGGGTAAGCTTGCTTCTAAGTTCTAGGTGTAGCTCAGTCTTTGCTTGCTATGCCTCGACTTACCCATTTATTTGCAGGAGCAGCACCCCGGTCTGAGGGTGTTGGTGCCCCTGACGCCGGGCCGCGTCCATTCAGTTACAGTACATAGGTAGTGACCGTCATTGAAGTACAATACTGTACATGCTAGGTGCGTCTGGTGTTTGGATGTAGCTTGTATCCATCCTATAAAAGGAGGGATCGCTTTTGAGAGTGTCGCTGCTCGTGGTAGGTAGTCATCAACGATTCGAAAAGTGAGATATACCGTTACGCCTTGGGAACGCGTCACGGTTCAGGATGGTTTTCGAAAGTACCAGCTGAGGTACCTAGTACGGGCAACTGCATGTTATATACTGGTCTAATGGAAGCTATTTATGACTTATGTACTGTCCCCTGCTATGTACATTCCTTACTACTCATCATATACTGCACGTATGCTGCTCGGGATCGGCTTTGACCTTGGCGGACTCAGACCCCTTACCCCCTGAGCCATCATAAGGCCGGCACCTTGGACCCACGGCCCCGGCGCTCAAAGACACTGGGCGTACCAGGGGTTCTGCGTCTTGCAGGCATACGGCGGCGCACAGACGGTCGGGCCAGAGTACCCCTGACCGCCGCACTGTCCCCAATGTGTCTGGGTAGCCCCGGATGGAGTGGTAGTAGTGATGGGAGTGCTAGTAGACCGAGTACTCGTTGTTGCGGTGGTGGTTGTCCTCATGGTAGAACTTGAACTCGAGCTGGAACCACCACCGGAAAGCTTGACGGTAGCGCCAATGTCTCCCCAGCGGATATTCGAGAACACGACGTGCGTGCCTGGGTAGTTGGCCTGGATGTTGGCCGGGTTGCCCTCGGTGGCGCTGCAGGGCCCGTTGCTGCCGCTGTCGAGCCAATTCATGTAACCACTGGCATCGTTCCAGATGCTGAACACCAGCACCATGCCGCGGCCCAGCGCCCGGCCCATGGCGGCGAGCCCGCCGTAGGCTGACGCCGACGAGCAAGCCGAGGCGGTGATGATGTCGCCGCCCTGCACCGCGCTGGCGATCGTCTTGCCGCCCTGCACGTAAAGGCGCTGGATCTGGCTCAGGCTGCCCGAGGTTGTGCCGTCGTTGGTGATGAAGCGCGTGATGACGGTGAAGGGCTTGGATGTGTCGAGGGTCCCGCCCGGGCCGTAGTAGGACTTGTATCCCTGGGCGTAAGGGTTGAAGCCGCAGCCGCTCTTGTCGCAGTCAGTGGCGGTGCAGGGGTGCGGGGTGAAGGCGTTGGCGCGGGAGTTGGCCTCGAGGATGTCCATCTCGTTGCAGCAGTAGCCAGATCCGTCCGTGTTCAGCGTCCCGTTTTTCCACGTCATGACGGGGCACTGGGCGTCGCAGTAGCCCGAGCCGTAGTTGGCGCCTCCAGTGTTGTACTGGTTCCTGCCGCCCGAGGCGTCCATCTCGGACAGGTACAGGGCGCCGTTCTCGCCGCAGGGGAGAGTGGAGAGATCGACGTCAAAGCTCAGCTCCTGGCCGAGGAGCTTGAGCATGACGTAGTTGCCGTCCGGTCCGAGAAGGTAGGCGCGCGGAGACACGCTGTTGAGCCCGTTGGTCCCGTTCACGTACTGCCTCATGGTCAGAGCGCTGCCGGACGTCGAGATGCCGCTGCTGGCGTAGTCGGTTCCCTCGATGACGCAGTTCTTGGCGCAGGTCGCCTCGTCAGGGCAGAGAGTCGAGTTGATGCCGCTGTTGGTGGTGCATGAGTCGTAGCCGGTGGCCGTGTGAATCCAGCGGTAGTTCCAGTCAAGGACCACAGACGTGTCCTGCTGCACACAGCCGCCGCTGGTCGTGCACTTCCAGGTTGGGAGTTGCGGGTGCGCCTCGGGCGTCAGAGTGCCAGGCTGCTGACCATTGACCAAGGGCAAGACCGCCAGCGCCGAGGTGGCCAGCCGTTGTAGAGTCTTCTGCGCCATGTTGGAGAGTAGGACGTGCCTCAGAGACGGTGGACAGTGGTGCTGGTAGGCAAGCCTCTACCTGCTCGCGGACGAGAGAAGAAATCATGGTCAAGTTATTTATGAGTTTCCTGGGACCCATCATGACCATCATGGATGTGTTAGACACAGGCAAGTCCGGCTCAGATCCGGCAATGGATCGCTTCTCGGGCCGTGACCCCTGAGGATGCAACACAGCGAGGGCAGACTATTCCGCATCTTGGCAGTTCGGAGCCACGACTTGGCAATCTCGGGAGTTGCGCTTGGCAATTCCGAAATAAAGCTTGGCGATCGTTCCCGCTTCTCCGGTTTCAACGTTGCATCGGGCCAAGAAGGTATTAGTGTACGGAGGAAGTACCTATCAGAAAGGGGCAACCTACCTTTATATACACTACACCTGCAGTGTTGCTGGCAATGATGAATAATACCCACCTGCCTTACACAAAGTAGCGACCTTGTGCTACTTGGATGGATCTGCACCCCGCCAACCTGGTCCTGAACCCAACTTATCCTAGGGCACGGGGCGAACCCCACCTAGGCTGTCGCGAAGGACGGCAGCTCTCCGAACCTTCGGCAGACTGGAATCTATCACCGAGCTGCAGGCACTGTGTTCCGGGAGGAAAACACCGGAGAAACCGCTCAACCTGTGGGGCCATCTCCACAATAGAGCCGATGAGACCACCTTGATGTATGTAGTATTTTAGGAGATTTGCGGGGGAGTTGATGAGTCTGGGGTTAGCTCTCTTGAGTCCGATGGCTGTCTTGGGAGTCGCGACCTGTGCCGGAAACATAGCTGGATTGCGGAGTGTTGGTGTTTTCGACAAGAGGTACCTTAGTGGGGACTTGGGAAGAGTCAGAGGGGATAGTTGAATGTTGAGTGCCATGAACGGGAAGGAGGACCCTGGGGTGGACGTGTATCTATTGGGGCACTGCGGCATTAGCTTTTCGACCATCCAAAAACCTTCCCCAACCGTCAACAATCCATCCTCCCAATCATGAGGATGTCTATGGCTCCTCCCCGACGGAAACAAGCTACTCAGAGGTAGATCCTCTGCAGCTATGCACCGATTCTCTTCGTCTTCTCCTTTCTCTTTATTCCTTCAGAGCCACAAACTGTATGCTCAGATTGTCTCCGTCTTCCTTGTTCTCCGTCTTCTTTCGAGGGGAAAAAAAAAAAACAACCAGTGAACCCGGTCGCCAGCATCTAGGGAGGGATTGTACCATGGCGAGGCATGAGGTGTCCTCCCCTGGGGGACGTATGACCCGAGAACATCTGGAAGTCAAAGAGCATCAAGGCAGCCAAGGTCAGTTCCGATGATAACCCAACGCAGCTGAACTGCTTTAACATACTTCTATAGAGCGTCGTTCCTAGCCTTCAAGAGGCTTACCGCACCTTCGCTCGGATGAAAGTACAGGAAGACATCTACGCTTTCTTCCTCGATAGATGGGAAGGCATAATGGCGAGGTATGAGGTGTCCTCCCTTGGGTGACGGATGCCCCTGGGGTTGTGCTCGCGAAGGTTGATGAACCGACCGGTTTCCCTTGCCGCCGCACTTGCCCGCGCCGAGGCGAGGAGGACAAGGCCTAGCTTGCCTATTGGTGCCGTGGCGGGCTCGTGCCGAGGACGACCGCAGATTCCCGTCACTGCCTCGGCGTACCATGGTGATCTTATGACACAGAGCCTGCTGAGGATTCGGCCTATGCTTTCGGTCCTCGAGATGATCGTCGTACTCGCGACAATCGTGGTTATGATCGCGGACGGAGCAACGATGGAAAGATTCGAAGCCGTGACAACAACCGCAGCTCATTCCGCGGCGCTTCACGACAAAATGATGACCGTTCCCAGAACAGATATCCCAAAACGAGGGACAAGTCAACGCCGCGTTCCTGCGGGCGCACGAGATTCAGATTCGATGCTACCGACCGCGGCAACGGGAGATGCGGGCGCGCCAGAAGCATCGCAAGCTTCGGGCAAAGCAAACAAGGGAGGACCGAGCAAACATAGACAATCGGCTTTTCACCCTCCTTCTCCAGTGTGACTACGTATACGCCCCACGGAATGGTAGCATAAACGGAACACTGGGGCAGCGTTCATTTAGTCGAGGGGCAGTGTTGCAGCGTTCTTCCAGCGAGGGGCAGTGTCAGAGTCGAACTAGGTACCTCTTTATATCTATACCTAGGAGGGCTATGGAACTTTCCTAGTACACTCTATACTTAATTCT